GATCACACTTAGCACTATTTACCAAATTATTCATTATATTCTGCTTTGAGTAAGATTTACAGTAAATGTTGGTCGACAAATAAGAGGTTATGTGGTTTGGCAGTCAGAGAACTCTCAGATGGTTTTGTTTAGACCTAGTTTTGAAAAACCTGTGTTCAGTTTCTTCCAAATTAGCAAATACTTTCCAGTTCTTTTCTTTCAGTACCCTTCTCTGACACACTTCACAACCATCCCCTGTGTAATTGTGTCCTCGAGCCCCAGCCTCCCCAGCTTTCCTCAGACTTTCTCTTAGATGATGGGAATTCTCAAATCCTTCCTGAAATCCAACCCTTTTCATTGTGGCTGCCCTGGGAAACCTCATCTGTCGCTACATCTTCCAAGGCAATCCACACATTTGGTGATGACTCACGAAATACCTCTTCAGCCCTGCTCTCTTTGCTGGTGCTCAGATCCAAAATGTTAGCTGCCAAGAAGGATTTCTGCAGTTTCCTCTCAAACATTTGAAGTTCACTGTGACCAGAATGCTGTTACACTGTGGAATGCGTCCTTTCTTCTGCGTGCCATTCCCGGTTCGTAATCGCTGCCGTTCTCGCTCTTGCCATGCCCGCTGGAAAGGCACCGGGTCCTGTGGATTTTTCCTTCTGCTCTCTCCTGAAGACATGTTCTCTCATCATCAGCCTAGCACCTTTCCTCTGGCTCTCCGCACTGGTCACCAGATTATTGTATTGTCTGTCTGCGTTACACACAATATATGATTTTTCTAAAGTTGTAATTCACTTAGCTAAGACTGCTTTTTAATTTAAACTCTATCACAGATTTCCCATCACCTTCAGAGTAAGAGTCAAATTTGTGGGATGGCTTCCCAGGAGCTGGCAGTGACTCAAACCCTAAAACTCAAACTCACTGCCCTTGAGGCCATACTGACTGTGGGCGACCCTATAGGACAGGGTCGAACTGTCCCTGTGGGTTTCCAAGACAGTAACTCTTTATGGGAATAGAAACCCTCTTCATCCTCTAGCGTTTATTATTATACTGACTCGTAATTAGTAAGCTTACATTTCAGCAGTCTGCCATTACAGCTGTGCTGCATTTTCAGACGTAGTTGCCTAAGTGGGTTCCAACAATGTTTTGGACTTCCCAAACCAAAACCAAACCCATTGCTATAGAGTTGGTTCTGACTCATAATGACCCTATAGGGCCTTTTCTAGAACTTCCCATCGGGTTTCTGAGGCTATAATCGTTATGCAAGCAGACTGCCCCATCTTTCTTCCGTGGAATGTTTGGGGGATTCGAACCACTAACCATTCATTTATGAACCTATTTAGCCCACTGCATAGGACTTCAGGTCTGCACAAACCAACATACTCTCCTGGGCAGAGAAATCCTTTAGCAGTGGGTCTGAGACTCAATCAGGACATGAGGACAAAAGGAGAAGGTAGCAGAGACTTGGAGGGAACGTTTTCTCCCTCTTAGAAAAGAGCCACTGGAAGAAATGCTCTTTATTTCTCTAGCTGTCCCAGCCAGGTGTCTAATCTGGGTGTGTAAAAAGTTCTCACAAACCTTTTACACCATCAGGGAGAACTCAAAACACAAAGAAGACAGCGCTGAGCAGTTCTCAGAAAAAGTAAGAGACGTTGGCCTAAACCAACCCTGAAGCCCATGTCACTTCTCAACTTACTCAGGCTCATGTCTGCTAAGTTTCTGGTTTAAGTCTGTTTGGATCCTTTTTCTTGGTGTTTGAAGGCCAAAGCCTCCAAAATGTTACTCTTTTTTTTTTTTTCTTTTTAATAATTCAAGGGAATGGGTACAGATAGGAACCAGAAACACAGGGAATCCAGGGCGGATGATCCCTTCCGGACCAGTGGTGTGAGTGGCGATACTGGGAGGGTAGAGGGAGGGTGGGGTGGAAATGGGGAACCGATTACAAGGATCTGCATGTGACCTCCTCCCTGGGGGACGGACAACAGAAAAGTGGGTGAAGGGAGACGTCAGACAGTGCAAGATATGACAAAATAATAATTATAAATTATCAAGGGTTCATGAGGGAGGGGCAGCGGGGAGGGAGGGGAAAAAATGAGCTGATGCCAGGGGCTTGGGTGGAGAGTGGATGTATTGAGAATGATGACGGCAGTGAATGTACGGATGTGCTTTACACAATTGATGTATGTATGGATTGTGATAAGAGCTGTATAAGCCCCTAATAAAACGATTTTTAAAAATTCAAGGGAATGTCAGCGGAGGCATATTAGGTATGCAGAACTTGAATGGTACCATGGAATGGAGATAAAGAGGCTTACCGCATGTTTTAAAACGAAGGTGCCTAGAAGATTCTAACCCTGGCAACCTCCTGTGAGCCAGAGTTAATTGCGCTCCATAGGGTTTTAATGACTGCTACTTCCCAGATAACTTACCATGGCCTTTTCGTCAGGTGCCTCTGCGTGCACCTGGGGCGCCAAAGTTTTCATTAGGAGCTGAGTGCATTTACTGTTTGAACCCTCAGATTCTCTACCGCCCAGAGGTCCTTCCCATTGATAAGATTTTGCCTTTTCGCATGCCTAAGCTTTTCACCATTGGGCACACTTGTTTATACCTATGCAATGTACATATCGTATTGGAGAAGAGAGCGCTTTCAAATGTGATCGGTGCTGTGGTCTTTAGGACTAATCTTACAAAAACTAAAGGTGTACATCTTCTGAAAAGAAGTGTCAATGTTGAAATTTAAATTGATGTATAAGTATATTGGGCAAGAATGCATCAGAAAGCAGGGTGCTTTGATCACAAAAAAACAAAAGCCACCTAATTTTTATTATTACTATTTTCCTTAGCACAAGGAGGGAGTATCAGACCCCAAATTAAATGAAAACCATTTTTTTTTTTGTTTTCTACAAAATCCTTATGTACTTTACTGGGAGCCGTTTACATATAATTAGTTTGAAGCTAACAGTTTAAAGATCCACATTTAGTTCTAAGGAGAAATGTTAGAAAAGTTTGAGTTTTTGTGTCGTAAAATCTTTAAGACAAAGCCCACAAATTTAATATCACTCCCTGTGTTTTTCCACGTCGCGGACGTTTTTTCCCCTCCCCCAAAGAAAAATGTCAATTCTTTCCTCTTTGTGTTGTTAGGGAGGGTACTGGAAACCCAGCAGAAAGAAGTTCTTTATTAGGAAAGGAAATGCCTGGAAATAAGAGTTAATGCTTAAATAAAAGATGTAAGGATCCTTACTTTTAAGAATTTGGGTTGAATCTTGGCTTTCACAATTGCCTTCATTGTTTCAATCAATTTAGACAGCAGGGGGTTAGAAGAAGGCACATGTTGGTTTTTTAATTTGCTAGTGCTTGCTGCTCAACTTCCTGCTGCTTTTTTTTAACCTCCTTTTATCCCGAGGTGATCAATCCATGTATTTCATATCAATACAGAGAAGTCTACTTGTCTGAATCCATGCTCAGTTTTGTGAGGGTGCATATGCACTGTCCACATGGCAACACAGGATGCAACAGGTCTTAATTTTACACACATGCTTTCATTTAGTCGGATTAAGTCTGATGGTAACTCTTTCACCACATTATATATTTGCTCCTCGTACAGTCAGTCCGTGGTAGAATTGTGATCTCTCTTGGGGAATTGGTAGATTTTGATTTGCCCCACTGTGCCTTTAGTGGCTAACTGCTAAGCCTCAAATGAAGATATTATTTCAGGGAATGTCTGCATCTGATGATTTTTTTTTTTATAAGAACAAGCCAAGAAGACTCATAAGTATAAAGTTATTTCAAGGTACAGCTTGTAGACAAAACTGGCTTGTCAGAATAAGTGGGTAAACTATAGGACTAGACCAATATGTTGTTGCTGTGAGGAGGCAGGGGTCAGGGCTGGCTCAGAGACACTGTACAACAGAAGGAAACTCGCCAGTCTTTTCACTTTTACTTTTTGGGTTGTGGAGTTCAGGGTTTTTTCCCCTTGTTTTTACAATAAAAATCTAATGATCTTTTCTGTGCTTTTTCTTGACACATGCTGGAGGGACTAAAAGCTCAGGTTTAATTTGACTTTTCAGTAATGATGTTTAGGGTTGTGATCCTTGTTTGTATTCCTTGGTCTTTGCTAACTCAATTCCTTCTGTAACAATGCAGCGTATTTCTGGGCATAGGTGGCTTAATTTCCCTTACAGTGACTCATTTCCTTTCAAATGTATTAGCAGTTAGCTCCCTCTGCACCCCATTGTAGCTTTGTTTGACTTTCCACCTCTCTCTGCTTATTGAACTAGAAGAGTTCATTAAAGCTTCTATAAATGGTCATGGTCTTTGCTGTAGGGAAAGTTTAAAAGAAAATAGACTGTTCATTAATGTGAAAGGGGAGAGAGTATTCCCACCATTCAGAAAGCTGAATGGGTAAGTGCAGGGAGGTACAATAGGAAAACAGGACATTTTCCAAAGCCTCCCAGGTTTTCCTTTTGCTATGTTTCTGTATTATTTGAAATTGAAGTAAATTCCCAGAACATCTAATATACTCACATTCAAATAAAAGTATGGAAACATATCCCAAAGCCACACACACACACACACACACACACACACACACACTTCATTGACTCAAAAACAGTGGGAGAATTTGTTATAAATCTTCAAATGTGATGACTCCATATTTAAAAAAGCAATTCATGTATGTGTGTATGTTTTAAGACGTAAGCTAATTCCCTAGCTCATGTAGAATGGAAACGAAAACATTAACATCTATTCTTATTTCCAATTTAAATTGCACTTTTAAAAAGAGATATAGAGTTTTTCTTTCCTTGGCCTTAGCGTACTGTCCTGGGAGTTCACTTCCATCTCAGTTCCCATAGATATGTGTGAGACATTCTTTGGGGCCTGAAACAAGAGTATCTTCAGGGTTATATGATCTGACCTAATGAACCGTGAGTGTTCTCAGGCTCTTGTAAAAAAACCCTTTTTAAAAGCTATGTAATGAAGGCCTTTCTCAGTCGTCTTCTTCTCCTTTGCTGGATCAGACATCGACGAGTGCAGCGCCATTCCTGGGATATGTGAAACTGGTGAATGTTCCAACACCGTGGGAAGCTATTTTTGCATTTGCCCGCGTGGATACGTAACTTCAACAGATGGCTCTCGGTGCATAGGTAAGCATCGACTTTTGAAGACACAATACACTCTTTCTTTACGATGACAGCAGCCCCAACAGGTATGAAGATGGCAGCAATTATGAAACCTTTGGGAAAATGGCTCCCCGAGTTGCTTCAAATAATCTGTACCCTGCTGGGGGTGGGGTTTGCAAGGAAAAGAGTTCGGTTTCAGAAGTCATCTGGTTTGTTCTGTGTTGTTCAACCGTGTGATGAAGAAGAAAGGCTTCTTCAAGACATGCCTCTCTTCAGGCATCAGACACACAAAAACATGAGAAAGGTTTTTCAAAAACTGCCTTAGGAGGCATATTGTATTAATTAAAAGGACCTATTTGCTGCGAATCATAAAATGCCATTGGTATCTTATTTGCTCAGAGCTTATGTATTGTAGTAAAGTTATTTTTTAAAAGGAATCAACACCTTTAATTTTGGGTTGGGAGCATTTTCCAGTTAAAGCCAAACATACGTGCATGCCCTCTGCTTAGCCAGATGGAAGGAAGCTTCTCAGCCACACACAGCAGATTGGCACCTGGGCCACATAAGACGTCTGTCTCACTGTGGGCACAGGGATCACACAAGGTCCTTTGGTGCATGCTCATGGAACAGTGAGTTGCTGTTTAAGTTGTCTTCTTGAACCTTGAGCTTCAATCATTTCTAATTTGAAGCCGAAAGTGGCGAGTAAGAGGAGAAAC